CCTTCTTCCGCAACATCATGAACATCATTGACTTGGTGGCCATCTTCCCCTACTTCATCACCCTGGGCACTGAATTAGTGCAGCAGCAGGAGCAGCAGCCAGCCAGTGGAGGGGGTGGCCAGAATGGGCAGCAGGCCATGTCCCTGGACATCCTCAGGGTGATTCGCTTGGTTCAGGTGTTCCGCATCTTCAAGCTCTCCCGCCATTCCAAAGGGCTGCAGATCCTGGGAAGACCTTGCAGGCCTCCATGAGGGAGCTGGGCCTGATCATCTTCTTCCTCTTCATTGGAGTCATCCTCTTTTCCAGTGCTGTCTACTTCGCAGAGGCTGATGATGATGATTCACTCTTCCCCAGCATCCCAGATGCCTTCTGGTGGGCAGTGGTTACAATGACCACAGTGGGTTATGGAGACATGTACCCCATGACTGTGGGGGGCAAGATCGTGGGCTCTCTGTGTGCCATTGCTGGGGTCCTCACCATTGCCCTGCCTGTGCCGGTCATCGTTTCCAACTTCAACTACTTCTACCACCGGGAGACAGAGCATGAGGAGCAAGGCCAGTATACCCATGTCACTTGTGGGCAGCCTACACCAGACCTGAAGGCAACTGACAATGGACTTGGCAAGCTGGACTTCTCTGAGGCCCCCCGGGAACGGAGGCCCAGCTACTTTCCCACTCCACATCGGGCATTTGCAGAGAAAAGGATGCTCACAGAAGTTTGACCCAGGCGGGCAGAGCCTGCATGAGAAGGGGTGTACTAAGTGAACTAACTATTAGGCTTCTTTCTCATCCTCACAACTCTCACCCTAGATCCAGCTGACCTCTTGACTCCCTCCCCCTACACCCAGCACATGGCAACCAGGACCAAATACCTGGACTGTCAACCTTGTTGCTTGACCTGTACAGCATTCAAGGTTTATCCATCTAAGTCACATTTTTGAAATTGCAACGGTGCCACCCAATTATGTCCATCTTCTGTCCCGTGGATGAGATATACTGTTCTGTCTGACCTTCCCTCAAGACTCTGATTTTTCCTGTCTGGAACTTGTCTTATCTTTAGGAGCAGAAACGTTAATAGGATGGAAATCAGACATACTTGGGTCCTATTACTCTCCTTATTGTCCTTTACTTTGGGGGGCCTGTACCTGTCTTAGCTTCTTGATAATTGGTGGAAGCTGGAAGATGGAAACAGTACTCAATGTGCTGTTTCATTCCATGAACTGTAACACCTGCTGGTCATCCTGCAGAGCACCCTCTATAGAGACTTAGTTGTACAGCCTCAAAATATGTTATCCATTTCTAATCTTGGATGGAATGAAAGAAAATGCAATTAAAGTGGATGATCTGGAGGACATGAGGGTCAGTCCTGGACCAAAGGGGCCAATGGATTCTCCCAGCTGTGATTTGGTATAGGAGACACTGGTCTTTGGTCTGCATTTAGTCCTCCCCACTCTTATCCCTGACTCTCTTGAGCTTCCAGGAAGGTTCCTTCTCAGAGCCAAATACTCTTTTTGAGCAAGTGCCTTCCTATGCAGAGGAACTGGAAACAGGTCCTACAGAGCCAGGAGAAATGGCTGAATATAGTCAAGCAACTGGTTTTATCACAAACCAGAAGCAAGGAACCACTAAGCAGAGATTGCCATCTTGGAGGGGCAGAGGAATCTTGTTGCAGATGTCAGCTTTTTTCTCCCTTATTTCACCAGAACTCTCTCTGGCTTTCCACTCTTCTTCCTGGGAATTTGACTTAGGATTGCAGGTGAAGGCTTTCTAAAGCAACCCCAGCTCAAATCTGTAGACAGGTGAAAGCACATATTGATTGCCAGTTTCTTCTCTTTTTATGGGTAATGATATATGTGGCTTAGGTTAAGGAACAAGCATTATTTTTTTGCTGACACTGGTAGAGGTTTTTGCTGAGTCAAGCAAACATTCACCTGCTCTGCCCCCTGGAGCTGCATCTGGCCTGCTCTAACTGGTAAGGTAATCTGGCTGTTTCCCAGCTGGACTCAGCCATCCTCTTCCATTGTGAAACTACTGCCATCCATCCCATCTGCCCACTTCCCTCTTTTCTCCCCAGTCACATTACCATTTGTTTCTTGCCTTTGATAAACTGTGATGTACTGTTTAAATCTCTTCTGAATGCAGTTCTGAAACTGAAAGGACTGTTACAATGCTTTTAATTTTATAACTATGCTTTAAGACTCTTAGATGAAAATTTTAAAAAAATAAAACTTCCCGAAGAGCAACTTCTGAGGGATAGCCTTTGAGGGTTTGCTTGAGAGGCAGTGTAGCTTCTGTGAGTGCCAGACTGAAATCTGGATTCTGCCACAGCTTTATAGGGTAGCTCTGGCTCCACAGTCCCTCTTTGTGCCTCAGTTTCTCCCCATTAAATGGGAACATTAATGTCTTCCCCTCCCTACTCATGGTGATTGTCAATGAGCTCATCTGGGAAGCTGGGGAAGACACTATGCACATGTGTGAATTATAGTCATTGATTTGGTTTTTAGTTCATTATCCTGTCCCCCCCCCTCCCAGAAATAAGACCCCCCAGATTTTCTGCCTCGGAACCAAAACCCAAGAATAGCCATTCATTATGAGCTCTTCACTTCCTAAATCCCTCCCTGAGCTCTTGGGCTGGGCCTCAGTCTTTTTTCGTACCCTTCGGAATGGAGAATCTTCTTTAGACAGGCTGGGTAGATCCTTTTTAGGGCTGGAGGTCACCTTTCCTAGGAGATTGGCTTCCTTAAACCTGAAATCCAGTAGGAAACAAAGATATTTATGATTCAGAAACCTGTTCCAAGATCAGGAAGTGCTATTTTTTCCAAATCTCTTCTGTTACTCCTGGCTATTTGGGAAAAGAAGGGCCCATGTCAGTGGCTAAAGGGATGCCCCATGTTGGGCCATGTGTGCATGTATCTGTAGATATGTGTATGTGATCATGCTCATCATCATCCCTGAGCACACATTGCCTTTTCAAATCAGAGCATGCCTGAAAGTAAAAGGTTTGTGGAGAGCTGGGATCTCTAGGGACTCTGGTTGCCATAGAAACCTTCCAGACTGTTCTCTCAGTCTTCTGATTCGGGCATCAAGGGAGAACAGACTACATATCCCCAGCTTCTCAAATGGGAGCACCTTCTACTATTGGTTTAGGGGTAGGTAGAGCCAGGACAGGGACACAGGACCTTGGAAAATGTGGAGGAAACTAAACTTCTTGAACTTCCTCCTTGGATTCTTCCTGGTTTCCCCTACCCAGTCCTTGAAGCTGCCTAATCTTACCCCTAAGTCTTCAGAAACTTTAATGCTTAGTAGCTGCCCAGTTAAACCAACATCAATGTTATGCTTTTAAAAATGACCAGGGGAGCCCTCAGAAAGGACAATGTGTTCCTCCAGAAGCAGCCAGGCTGGGCTTTGCTGAGAACAGTCCTAGCCTTAGGTGTCATGGAGTTCTCATCTCCTGAGATAGAGGATCTTCCCAGCTCTAAGAGAGACTGAGGGAAATGAAGCCCCTTCTTCTTGGGGAGCAGTCGAGCTCCTGGGAGGGATCTCACAGTTCTTCTTGAGACATGGAAGAAAAACCAAAAGACTGTGTCCCCACCTAGTTTCTGTGAAGGATTTTGTCCAATGGCCCCCTCTCTGACTCTGAGCCTCTTTATGTGGATGTCGTGACCTGATCATCAGGAGAGTACGCACTGTGTGTGGCTGGCCCAGCTGGGATGGGGACTTCCAGCTGCCAGGAAAGGTGGACTCTTTATACCAAGCCATCTTTATACCTGATTGGAGCTGGAAGGGGCTCCCAGAGGATTTCCTGGGACTGTCAGCCTCAGCCTGGACTGAGGGATGCTCCTTCTGCCCGAGAGTGTCCCTGAGGAGTGAGGACGGACAGCTGGCTGTCTTTGTACCTGAGGTAGGTCCTACTGTGGGGGAATTTTGCTCCTGGATCAGCCTCCATGCCAAATTAGAAATCTGGACGGCAGGGAGAGAAAGTAGGAGAAGATTCAGTTGGGTGGGGGAGCAGGGTTTCATTTGCCTTTTCTCTGTGACAACCTTGCTCCATCTCGGTGTATTTTCTGTGCCTCCATTCATTTCCTTTTCCTCTGTCTCTGTCCTCTCAGTGCCGCTTCTCCCACACCTTTCTTACCATCTCTTTCCCTCCTCTTCTTCCTCTCCCTTTTCTCCTTTTTTTAAATTCACTTGCTGTGCCTTTTTTTTCCTTCCTTCTCTGTTTCATTTCTCCTGCCCCCACCCCATTGTTTTCAACCTCTTCTTCTTTCTCTGTGTATTTTTCTTCCTCTTTCTCCCTCTCTGTACCTTTTGGGTGGCTGGTAGCACCTATGATGTTTCTGTTGAATTCTAGGACAGCTGTGATCCTGGGTGTTTTTGAAAAGGTCGGCCTCCAGCCAGAGAATTCCCTGTTTCCTGACATCTCAGTTCCCCATCCTTTCTTGCCACACTCCCCTATTGGGGGATGTCCTGCACTTACCAAGGAACTTGGGATGCTCTAGGTTTAGAATAACATCCCCTAGTGATTTCCTGAACATATAAAGATGAAAGAGGGAGGGGGAGAGGGATGGGAGCAGGGGAGAGAGAATGAGCTTGATGCCTTATATTAACATTCTGCCATATAGTACTAGAGTATGTCATCTTAGGGTTCCTGAGCCTTAAGTGCCTTGCAGAGATGTTGAAGACAAAGGAACAGTAGGAGTAGTAAAATAAACAGAAAAAAAGAGGACTTGGGAGGAAGGTATATGATTGAAGTTAGAATGGAAAAGTCCTTCACTCGGGGTCGCCTGACTTGGAGGTTTGCTTAGCCTGTGGCTGGCTTCCTTGTGCACTAAGGGCAGAATGAGAAGGAGGGACACCATTCCCAGTGGTGTAAGGTGCAGGAGATGCTCCTTGGGGATGTAGGTTAAGATTCCCCACCAGTCCATAAGGAGACTGTGTGGTTGTCCTACTGGAGGCCGTGGCACATAGGGTTAAGTCCCATCTGCATCAGGACATCAGAACATTGGGACAACCCCCAGGCTCCTCAAGGGCCCAAGAGTGGGATGTTAGCTAGCACCAAAGTACTTTTGGGGGTGATGGAAATGTTCTGAAATAGGACTGTGGGGACAATCAATATTGTCATTATCAACTCCAAAAGTTAACAACAACAACAGAAAACATTGCAATTTTGGGGAAAAGGAGACACGAGTCTAATAACCTGGGAGTCTCTCACTGCAATGGGAGGAAGATTTAGTTTTGTAAGTTAAGGTTAGTATCTTTAGTGATGGACCAGATTGAAGGTCTGTAATGGAATGACAGTTTTTTTCTTCTGCCACATGGGGACACTTCAGAGCTTTCATGCAGTTGCACCTTGCGATTTGTGTACAATACCAAGAACTGATAGTGTGTGTATTTATTTTGTCAATGAAGCTACTGTAGGGTTTATATCCTTTTTCTTTCTCCAAAATTATGTCAAGCCATTCTTTTGGTAGGTGCAGAGTATGATTAGCACATTCTGAACTGATGATGAATGTGTTGGACATATTAATTATATAGGAGTAGGGAGGTGAGCTTGCTTAAAGAATGTGTTTTTTGGGGGCCACAAACAAACAAACAAATAAATAAATCCTCTGCAAACAAACCAAAAGCCCCACCTAATTCTTGGACCTGTAAACTCTGACTTCCTTAAGAAATTTCCTAGAAGCCAAGGTTTTATTTCTCCCAGCCTCCAACCCCAACTACCCACTAAAGTAGTCATTAACCCTTCTTTCTTTGCTCTAGAACGAGGACTAGCAGTCTCTAGTGCTTTGGATAAACCAAAGAAGTGGGAGATGACAACCTTCATTCATCTTACCTTTGCATTGTTATCTGTGAGCCAGTTCCTTCTCTTCTTCCTCTGGCCTGTGCCTCAGGATCTCTTCCTTCTCTCCCTTAGGGCTTTTTGTCAGATGACACTTTCTAGTCCTGCCAACTTATTATTCCTTCTCCCTACTGGTTGAGCTCTTGCTTCGGGCAGGATTTCTGTTGCCCTGCATCTCTACATAAATGCCAAGCTAGATTCCCAGAGAACATTGTCCTCCCAGGACAATGTGGCTGGATTTGCCATCCTGGCTCTGATTGGTTTTGACGGTGTGCTATTACCATGGGAAGGAAAGTGTGGTCTAATTCTAGTGTGTCATGATCACTTAGAGGAGGGAAAGAAATCCATTTATTCAACAGTAGGGTTCCTTTCTGTGTTCCTCTTTATACCAGGCTGCACAGATATCTCGTGGCAGAATAAGGTCTGGTGCTTGGGGGTTTGGAGGGAGAGAACGTATCTTCCCACTCACGGGCCACTGGGAATAAGGACAGATGGGCTCTTAGTTCTCATGTTGCTGGGTTTCCCAATGCACCACTTTCCCCTTCTGGGCTTGCAGTCCCTGCGGAGTTGCAGATTGTCCTGTTTTCATGTCCCTTTGTTCTGAACTTGAGGAAGTACTTTAGCCTGCTTCTTTGTTCCTTCTTGGTCCTCATCCCCTTGCTTCACATGTGACCCTAAAGGAGGAGTGGAAACCTATCAGTGACACTTAGGAAGTGTTATCCCAACAGGAAACACTGGTCTAGCCTCTGCTATCACTTGACCTATTTGGGGCCAACCCTGCTGCGGATTATGGCAAATTTTTTCTTCTTCTTCATTTTACCCAACTCCAACCATATCATTGTTACTATATGGAGAATTTTCTCTCAGTTGCTCCTGTGCCCTGGATGATACACTTTGCCTGCCCCTGGGAAACATTTTGGACCCTTAAGTTGCCTCTGTTGCAGTTTGCAAGGAAGGTAGACAGACCTTGGCTCTTTGGCGAGAGCAAAGCCGACATTTCAAAAGGAAATTGCAGCCCCGCAGTCTGCTGGTGCTGGTATTTTTGACATGCTTGCAGTTCTCTCAGGGCTTGACAACCGCTGTCTCCAGGAGACAGACAAACCCGGTCTTGGCAGCAAAGACACCACTTTGAAAAAGAACACAGCAAGACAGTCCCTTGGCTGGGAGGGGCGGGAGAATGCCCATTCCTTCCCTCACCTCCAGGAAGCCTGCCAGGCACCTGGCTAGCATCTGCCACCCTCGACGGCAGCTTCACCCTCCCCTGTGAACTGGACCCTGCTGTGCAGCCTCCCCTCTGAGGGGGGTTCTCATAGAAACAAGAAGGAGGCTCTCCTCTGAGAAAGACCCACCCAGCGCTCTCCTCGGGCAGTAAGCTCTAGAATAAAATGGTAAGGGCCATGAACGCCGGAGCCAGGTGGTTAGGTCCAAGTCCCTCCTCTGCTGGGTGACACTGGGGCAAGTTATGAAATTACTCTGAGCCTCAGTTGCCCTCTTGGTCAACTGGGGGGGGGTAAAAATAGCTCTGATAACATAGGGCTGTTTTGATGATTAAATAGATTTTTTAAAAATATTTATTT